GTCCAAAAAAACAAATTTTTTGCGATTTTTCACTTTTTTCGCCACCTTTACCTAGTCGTATCTCAAATCCAAGTGCATTTTCTGAATCCTCACAGTATCCCCTTTCAAAAACCGTGCCGGGAATCATCGTAGCTTGAATAGTGACGGAGTTATCGGCCAAAACGTGAAAAAGTGCGAATTTGCTCAAACCACCTAAATGGAGTTTTGACTAAAACTTTGAGGGCGCTTATCTCAGGAACTACTCGACCGATCTGGCTGAAATTTTGCACAGAATGTTTTTTTGATAAGGTCTACCTACAAAAAAATTTTCATCGTGATCCGAAATGGTGACCTACAAAAGTGGCCGATGTGGGATGGAGTGCCCCAAGATCTGTCACGAGTAGAGAGCTGTCGCGAGTAGACTAAGATCGGCCACGAGTAGACTTCGATCTGTCGCGAGTAGAGAAGGATATGTCACGACTTTAGATCTGTTGCGAGTAGCGTAAGATCTGTCGTCACGAGTAGACTCTGATCTGTCGCGAGTAGAGTAGGATCTGTGACGACGTAGTATCTGTCGCAAGCCCGTTAGGTTAGGTTAGGGCAGGTTGGAACCTTTACACTGCAAATCCAAGTGTAGGACAGGTCGACACTTTAAGGCGTAGACCAGTTTGTCTTACGCTTGCAAGTGACCATCTGTGTCCGACGCTCTGAAGTGTCGACCACACTCTGTCCGACGCCTGAATGTGTAGGACACTGTTTGTCCTACGGCAAATTACACTGAGTTTCCTATTGTGGCCCCACACTTCGGCCGTCGACACTTGCAGGCATCGGACACTGAGTGGTCGACACTTCAAAGCGTCGGACACAAGTGGTCGACACTTGCAAGCGTAGGACAAACTCGTCTACGCTTTAAAGTGTCGACCTGTCCTACACTTGGATTTACAGTGTAGTTTCAGTGGTTTCACAGTTGTAGGGAAGCCATCCAGCAGCACTTTGTGCACCTATAGCGACGCAACCCCACACAGCTAGCCTGCTATTCGAAATTCCACATGCAGGAGAGAAGAGAATATTTTGATTATTAATAAACTATTATAAAATATTTCTGGGACGACGCATGATTATTTCTGTTCACCCCAGAGTGAATAAAAATAATATCCACCCTTTATATTTATTCCATAAATATATTGTAAGAAATACTACAAAATAGGGGGAACGTCCCGACGGCGGAACGTCCAGGCCGTGCCCCTATTTTCCCATCAAATTTAGAATTGAATGGAAAAAACCGCAAGTCTCTACGACCACTCCTTGACCCCAAACATTTCTATGAGTGAGTGAGTGAGTGAGTCAGTCGGTTTGGGGCTACATAGGTTCTTGAATGATGATGGTGCCTTCGGAAGGTTTACATTATTAATTGCTAGCAATTAGGAAGAATACACATGAAAAAAAAAGACAGAGCTCACATTGGCCCCTTATACGCCCACAATTTAGCCGATTTAATTTTTAGGGGTTCAGACGAAGGAGGACCCCTATTGTTTTTGACGGCTCAGATTCTTATTTTTTTCCGGTATCTTTTGATTGAAAAATGGATCCTGCCAAATTACTCGTTATCATAATTAAATAGAAACTCTTGAAAATTTCCAAAATTTATCGTGAGAATTTAACGTAAACGACTAAAACATAAATTTGCAACAATCAAGCACCCTTATCCGTTCACATTTTCCATTTTTTCAAAGAGAAAATGTGCCACTCCTCAAAACTAAACCGAGGTGATGTCAGCAGGTATACAGTCCCACCAGGTATAATCCCACCAGGTATAATTCCCAACAGATATACACTATTTTATTTTATTTATCTATACGCGGATTCCCAGCAAGTATAAATCCCACCAGATATACACGTATTAATATTAGATTTTTTTGTGTCTCAGCAAGTACAATTCCCACCAGGTATACATCCCAATAGGTATAATTCTCACCAGGAATACATTAGAAGAAAAACAACCAAATGACTGATTACAATGGGGCATGATGACAGCTTCGACTCGAGGGACATTCCATGTGAAGTCAACCAGGCCTTAGCCACCATGGGCTCCGATCCGGTTCTCGTTTTCAGGGTTTGTTACCCCTATGGTCCCATGAAATAATCGGTACTTGGTTTGGGGTCCGGCCCCCCAGGGGCTGGGCTATGGCCAATTTACTTTTTTGCTGAATATCGGAACAACGCAACTTTGGAGGGCAATATCTCAGCAACCATTGGTCGTAGGTCAAATCCGAGACCAGATTTGGAAAGAGGATGAAAAACTGAATCTTTTTTGGCTTTGAAGTTTTTACGTCCAAAAACTTTTTAAAACTTTAGTGAAGTTTTCAAATTAGCGCCATTTCCTAGATCCTCAACCGATTTTGACCAATCTGGGCTTAAAAGATAGCTTAAACCCTTCCCTAAACGAAAATGTTAACCAAAAAATGTGTTCGGCTTCGCTCCCGAGAACGAGCCATTTTTGTGAACCCCTGCAACCACGTATTTCACCAAATTGTAGTGACGGCCGCACTCGATACCACACTGGGCGCTCTCTTAGGTGTTTTCGGCTCAAAGCAAGTTTCCGGGTTGCTTTTTTAAGGTCAGGGGACCCAAGCGAGGGGTCGGCAACTCATATATTACTTCGTACACGGTGGCTATATTACCTGTATATTACCATATATTACTTGCATATTACCACAATTTCGCCTCTATAATACCCCTATATTACAATATATTACTTTGTATTACTTTATATTACACATATATTACCTATATTACTGGTAATATACGCATACTCCCTCGTACACGGCCAAGGGGAGTTGACGACCCCTCGGACCCAAGCGCCTGTCAGGTAGGCCAACAACAAGTAGACCTGCAACGCACTAGTGATGACAGGGTGGCCGACCTTGCCCCTGAGGAGTGGGACAGGCAGCGCGCTCTAGGCGATCGGACCAGTACTACACCCCGCCACCTCGCCGTGATATCTACACGTGGGGGTGGGTGTTGTTGTTGTTAGTTATTGTTGCACGGCAGGGTAAGGGTTGTTTCAGGCGTTTCAGTCAGCATTTGGGTACAAAATTACGTTTGAGTTTTCTGACGTCAGTCCCAGCAGATTTGACAGCACGCTTCAACGGCATTTTAGAATTAATCTGAAGGCATACCATAGTCAATGACATTGAAGATAGAGGTTAGTAGTGTTAAAGAAGATACTTTTAATTAGCTGGCCAAGGAAAGTATCTTCTTGGTATGCCTTCAGATTAATGCCAAAATGCCGTTAAAGCGTGCTGTCAAGTCTGCGGAAAAGCATAAAGAAAAAGTATCTCCTTCAACTATAGCTTAATAAAAGAATCTTCTTTAACACTACTACCCCCTATCTTTAATGTTATTTACTATGGTATGCCTTCAGATTAAATCTAAAAAGCCGTTGAAGCGTGCTGTCAAATCTGCTGGGACTGACGTCAGAAAAATCAAACTTGTTTTTGTACCCAAAAGCTGACTGAAACGCCCGAAACAACCCCTTTCCCTGCCGTGCAACAATAACTAAAAAAACAACACCCACCCCCACGTGTAGATATC